GACAAATCATTCAGAATAATTATCTTAAAGAAGCTCAGTGTACTACAAGAGAAAATATATAACTACATGCAATCAGGAAAACAATACATGAATAACATAAGAAGGCTAACAAATAAATACTATAAAAATGAACTAAACAGCAATACTAGAACTGAAGAATATAATGACTGAACTGAAAACTTCAATGCAGACATTTTAAAGTTTAGTTTATATATAAAATGGAATATTATTCATCCTTAGAAAAGAAGGAAATCCCATCATTGCCACAACATGAAAGAAACAGGAAGTTATTCTAAGTGAAACAAACCAGTCACATAGACAAACATTGCATGATCTTGGGTTTATGTGGCACCTTTATTAAAAGAAGTCAAACTCATAGTAACAGGAGAGTAGAATGGCAATTACCACACGCTGGGGCTTAGAAGAAAAAAGAGTATTTAAAAAGTGAAAAGTAGTTACCAAGGATTGAAGGGAATAGATCATCAGCAGTTATTGTTTAATGGACATAGTTTTTATTTTAACAAAGTGAAACAATATGAATGTATTTAGTACTACTGAAATATACTTAAAAATAGTTAAGACAGAAAATTTTGTGTTAAGCATTTCTATCACAATAAAATATTGGGAAAAAATGGGAAAGGGAGTAAACACAGAATCAAATAAAATAATTTGTTCATGCTATAATAGTATCACAAACTGATACAGGAGACATACAGATCATACCTGCTTCATACAGACTCTTAATAAATGTCATGGTAAGGAAAACTGAAATAAATGGTTTCATAAAGAGGACTTTTGATCACCAAAACAGCATAGTGTTTTGAAGATTCATGATGTAGAATTAAAGTTTAAAATGTTGATTAGGTATTGACTGACAATTTTGGCGATATTGTTGAGTATGCTTTACCAAATAAAGTCTATAATACACACCAGAGAAATGAAAGTCATAGGGAGAAATTTTAACAGGAGATTTGACAAAGTCAGACTTGATTTGGGAAGGTAAATGTTGACACAATGGTGAGGATGGATAACATGAGAAAATGATGAGGAAGACTGAAAGTACAGGTCTAATTAATCAGAAAGAGAAGCAGTGAAAAAGCAGGGACATATGAGATTGAACCAGAATCTTTTTGATCACAAACAACATTATCTTCTGTCATAATAACACAAAATTGTCTGAACTCAGAAGATAAAAAAAGAAAAACTGATTGTCTAGTATATTCAATTTTCTGTCAGTCTTTTTCTATCTGCACTCAGGAAAACCATGATCTATGGCGCATCCTGGTACTCGCAGGTCAACTCCATCACCTTCCAGGAAGGGAAATTCTAAGTAAACTCTAGAATTTGAACCCTACCTGGATTCTGTCTCCTCAGGAGATTGTGGAGTTTCTTTCACCTTCTGCCCAAAGAACTGGAACATAAGAAAGCCCCTCTCTGAAGATTTTACCTGTTACCATTAGTTATAATTTAGGAAGGAGAGTCTTACTAGGTTGGAAGAAAGTTGATGCCATTTTCTACAGGTATGATGAGCACTACCCAAAACCAAAATTTGCTGTTACAGAGTCCAGTGTGTCTGTTTGACAGATCTCCTTCTTTAACTTTTGAAATTCACTTGTAGCATTGTCAAACCGCTTCAGGATTCACATATCTATATTCAACAAAGCAAAAGACTTGCTAAGGGTAGTTCCCTAGGAAGTCACATTTTGAAAACTTTTGCCTTTTGAAATGGACAGAGTCAGTATCATCCCATATGCTGATTCCTCTCCCTTCTGGATGTTTCCCTTCCTAATAGCTCAAGAGACATCCCTTCCTGTGAGTTAAAGAATTATGTCTGGTGTGGTGATGTGTCTCTGCAGATGGAGTGGGGAAGAACAAAGAGTTAGCTGGATTTAATGACCCATGAGGCCCAGAGGACTTTGAAGGCTAAGCTTAGGGATTCTGGGACATGCTCAGACTTAGAGACACCCTCATTCACTATAAAGTTTTTCTCCATGTGATAGGACAAACTGAAACCCAGAGGTTTCTTGGGTTCCAATCACCATCTTTGGCACCAGGGCTTGTACTGTGACACGCTGTTCCAAGGAAGGCCTGGAGGAGGAAATACTGGAAAGGTAAGGATACATGAAAGAGAGAAATGAGCTGCTACAGAAAGGAGAGGAGGCAAATGAGGAGAGAATGGGAGAGCAGCCTCCCCTTTGCTGAGAAGTTATCCAAAGTAACCATATTCTATTCTCGCCACACATACACACAAACAAAACATGACATAGCATATGGGATTAAAGCAGATGACCACAGGTGAGAAAACTGTGATATGTCACTGAGTTATATGCAGAATATTTCTGCTCTCTCTCCCTTACACATACATTCACACATACTCTTTCTCTCACCCATACATACATATAAACACACACATACACAAATCCTGATTCCATTCAACAGCTACATTCTGAAAAACTGGGAGCCATATCCTCATATGGCAGTGTTAGGGATATTAAAGTAAATACTCCTGGTTTGTTACTTCCAGTAGCAGCATTTATGTTGGTAGGGAATAGAAAAATGTATAAATAAAATCATGTCATGTTAGATGCTGCAGAGTTGTATAATATCCTAGAGATGCCAAAACTTAAAATATATATATATATATAACTTTATTACTTTTAAGCATCAGGAAAGATTCATTCACAATGCTTTAATTTTAGTGTCACTTAAATTTGCTAGGCATTTTCTCTATATAAACCTGAAGCTAGGCATAATTTCAGGACATGAGTGCAATTTTGCATGTTAATTTGTGATAAGTTAAGGCATGTAAGGCATATGAACATGATTTAGCTGATAAGCAAAAGGCAAATTACTGTACTTAGTGTAAGAACATCAAGGGATCACAGAATAAACAGGAATCTGCAGGTGTCAGATCAGAAACCAAACCTTTCCATAAGATTCGTGGCTGTTGTTCAGCTGTTCAGTCATGTCTGACTCTGGTCTGCAACCTCACTAACTACAGTACACCAGGCTTCCCTGTCCTTCAATATCTCCCAGAGTTTGTTCAAACTCATGTCCATTGTGTCAGTGATGCCATCCAACCACTTCATTCTCTGTCACCTCCTTCTCCTACTCTCAACATTTCCCAACATCAGGGTTTTTTCCAATGAGCTGGTTCTTCGCATCAGGTGGCCAACGTAAGATTAGCAGCTTAGATTAGATTTTTGATGCTTGTTAATTCCATAAGATTAGCAAGCATCAAAAATAGCAATGGCTTTCTAGTAGAAGGAGAAAGAAGAAAATTCTAAGAGAGAACATCTGACTGGTGGTGGTTTAGTTGCTAAGTCATGTCTGACTCTTGTAACACCATGGACTGTAGCCCGCCAGGCTCCTCTGTCTGTGGGATTCTCCAGGCAAGAATACTGGAGTGGGTTGCCATTTCCTTTTCCAGGGGATCTTCCTGACGCAGGGATTGAAGCCAGGTTTCCTGCACTACAGGTAAATTCTTTACCAACTGAGCTACGAGGGAAGCTCTGCTTCCCATAATGTGGCTGCAACAGATCCATGAGGGAAATCCCTATATTTATATAATATCAAACATAAACAGTGGTATAAGTTAGCAGTTTTCATTTAGACGTAGGATTCTTTAACACCAGACCAGACTTTGAAAAACACTAGGTATAATAATTTCTCAAAAGTAACCAAAAAACTTCTTGGAAAAGGAAAGGAAGAGAATACCATAAAAGATAGTATACACTCTTTTTTGAAATACTGCCAGTTCCTTCCAAATTCTCATATATATATAAAAATAAAAACCATAAGTAATAGTGCCTGTAAAACTGAGTGCTGAAGAATTGATGCCTTTGAACTGTGGTGTTGGAGAAGACTCTTGAGAGCCCGTTGGACAGCAAGAAGATCCAACCAATCTGTCATAAAGGAAATCAGTCCTGAATATTCATTGGCAGGACTGATGCTGAAGCTGAAACTTCAATACTTTGGCCACTTGATGCTAAGAACTGACTCATTTAAAAAGACCTTGATGCTGGGAAAGATTGAAGGCAGAAGGAGAAGGGGACAACAGAGGATGAGATGGTTGGATGGCATCACTGACTCAATGGACTTGAGTTTGAGTAAGCTCTGGGTGTTGATGATGGACACTGAAGCCTGGCATGCTGCCGTCCATGGGGTTGCAATGAGTCAGACATGACTGAGGGACTGAACTGAACTGATGAATCTCAGAACAATAACTTCTACTGAGAGAGTTGTTGACTACTCTCAGGAAACAGGAGGATATCTAATGTTTCTAAATTAACTGCTTTTACCATAACCTCCAGTGTACTGACTAAAAGTCTTTTCATCTTTCCAGGACTCATTAATAATAAGAAAAACAGTGTGATCCTACTTTCTGACAAGAATTCAGTGACACCTCTAGGAGAATGCTTTCTATCAATGACACCCAGTTCCATCCTCCCTTCTTTCTCCTGCTAGGAATACCAGGGCTGGAGACTGTACATATCTGGATTGCTTTCCCATTCTGTGTTGTGTATCTGACTTCCCTTGTGGGGAACATCACTGTTCTATATGTGATCAAGACTGAATACAGTCTCCACCAGCCCATGTTCTACTTTCTGGCCATGTTGTCCATGATTGATCTGGGTCTTTCCACCTCCACCATCCCCAAAATGCTGGGGATCTTCTGGTTCAACCTCCAAGAGATCAGCTTTGGAGGCTGCCTTGCTCAGATGTTCTTTATCCACATGTTTACAGGAATGGAGACTGTTCTACTGGTGGCCATGGCTTATGACCGTTATGTTGCCATCTGCAACACCCTCCAGTACACCAGCATCCTCACCAGTAAAACCATTGGCATTTTGGCCTCTGTTGTTGTGGGCAGAAATTTACTTCTTGTGACTCCATTTTTGTTTCTCATTCTGAGGCTGCCCTTCTGTGGGCACCACATTGTTCCTCATACATACTGTGAGCACATGGGTCTTGCCCAATTGGCCTGTGCACCCATCAAGATCAATGTTATCTATGGGCTCATGGTGATTTCTAATATTATTGTAGATGTGATTATGATTGCCTCCTCCTATGTACTGATCCTTCAAGCTGTTTTCCACCTCCCCTGTCAGGATGCCCGACTGAAGGCTCTCAATACCTGTGGGTCTCATGTCTGTGTCATGCTGTGCTTTTACACACCGGCACTTTTTTCTTTTATGACACACCGCTTTGGCCATAATATTCCCCACTACATCCACATTCTTTTGGCTAATCTATATGTGGTTGTCCCACCTGCCCTTAACCCAGTCATCTATGGAGTCAGGACAAAGCAAATCCGAGAGCGGGTTGTAAAAATATTTGTACAGAAATAATAGCTCTGTGAAATGTCTGGGAAATATATTCACATATAGTCAAATTTTAATAATCTAAGATCTAAGCTTTTCATTATAATGTATAGTACCCCCCAGATTTTTCATTTTTATTGGAAATGGTTTACTGTAAACAGATTAAGCAAACTACCATTTTTGTCCACTCTGGTCACCTTCCCCGTGTAACTGAGCAAGGACTAACAAAACAGGAAGATATTTATAGCTTCTGGTAAACGGTATCACGGCATGTCATTCATTCACACAAGCACACCATAAAGTTAGTAAAGTAGAAAGCATGTATATTGAGAAAGCAGAGAGGCTAGAGCTCCGTGTTTTCACCTTGTCCTGAAGATCCTGGATGAGCTCCCAAGGTGATACATTTGCAGTGAATGGTGTCAGATTCTAGATCTCTGAAGAAGATTTAACCTTGGGACCAGGGACCAGGCTTGATCACTCAAGAGCTTTTGTGTACCAGAGTTTTATTAAAGTATAAAAAAAGACAGAGAAACTTCTGACATAGACATAAAAAGGGGGGCTGAGTGTGCCCCCATTCTTAGTTTTAGCAAGGGAGCTATATACTTTTTTAATGGTTGTTATCAAAAGAATGTCTCACAAAGGATTAATCTCAAAAATATACAAGCAACTCCTCCAGCTCAACTCCAGAAAAATAAATGACCCAATCAAAAAATGGGCCAAAGAACTGAACAGACATTTCTCCAAGGAAGACATACAGATGGCTAACAAACACATGAAAAGATGCTCAACATCACTCATTATCAGAGAAATGCAAATCAAAACCACAATGAGGTACCATTACACACCAGTCAGGATGGCTGCTATCCAAAAGTCTACAAGCAATAAATGCTGGAGAGGGTGTGGAGAGAAGGGAACCCTCTTACACTGTTGGTGGGAATGCAAATTAGTACAGCCACTATGGAAAACAGTGTGGAGATTTCTTAAAAAGCTGGAAATAGAACTGCCATATGACCCAGCAATCCCACTTCTGGGCATACACACTGAGGAAACCAGATCTGAAAGAGACACGTGCACCCCAATGTTCATCGCAGCACTGTTTATAATAGCCAGGACATGGAAGCAACCTAGATGCCCATCAGCAGACGAATGGATGAGGAAGCTGTGGTACATATACACCATGGAATATTACTCAGCCATTAGAAAGAATTCATTTGAATCAGTTCTAATGAGATGGATGAAACTGGAGCCCATTATACAGAGCGAAGTAAGCCAGAAAGATAAAGACCATTACAGTATACTAACACATATATTTGGAATTTAGAAAGATGGTAACGATAACCCTATATGCAAAACAGAAAAAGAGACTCCGATGTATAGAACAGACTTGTGGACTCTGGGAGAAGGCGAGGGTGGGATGTTTCAAGAGAACAGCATCGAAACACGTATATTATCTAGGGTGAAACAGATCACCAGCCCAGGTTGGGTGCATGAGACAAGTGCTCGGGCCTGGTGCACTGGGAAGACCCAGAGGGTTCGGGTGGAGAGGGAGGTGGGAGGGGGGACCGGGATGGGGAATACATGTAAATCCATGGCTAATTCATTTCATGTATGACAAAAACCACTGCAATGATGTAAAGTAATTAGCCTCCAACTAATAAAAATAAATGGAAAAAAAAAAAAAGAATGTCTCAGAGCTATAATGATCTTACTAGACCCACTCCCATAATATACATTTTAAGATATCAGAATTAGTCAGAAACTTTTCAAGAAGGAGAAACTGTTCTCAAGCAGGGTACATTGTTGATATATAATCCTTACTACAGAGTTTAAACTGAGTTGTTTGTTGTATAATCATCAATTCCAGGCTTAAAGAAAAAAACATTTTATGTGCCTAAGACTAAGGAATGTAGAGGATAAAAAAGATATGTCCTTTCCTCCTCCTTGAGAATTCCAGACCCCTATCTCCTCCTTGAGAGTCCCAGACCCCTCTCTCCTCCTCCAGGACCCCAGACTTCTTATCAACCTGCCTAGGAATTGACTCTCTCAATATTCTGGAGGCAGCAGTGGTCTTGGATAGAATGCCTGATGGAAAAGGGTGAGATTTCCTTCATTTCTCCATGTCTTCTCTTTAGGTAAGTTTAAAATCTGATAGAACACTGATCTCATTATATAGATCAAGAAAATAAAGTTCAAACCATGGGTGGGTAGTGATGTCTGAATTAGAATATCCTGTTCCATAGGACCATGTTCTTTATAACAATCCTTGAATTTTGTCTCCCTTCTCTAGAATCCTGGGCTCATTTTTATTTTTATGCTCCCTCAGTCTTGTCATTTTGCTCCTTTTTATCTTTACTATTCTTTTTAGTTCCTCTCTCTCTTTCTCTCTTCTTTCTTCCCCTAACAGATCAAGCTTTTGGGAATTAAAGAATAAGAGAATCTGCAGTGTGAGCACTAAGAATACATAACATTGCTTTCCCTCCTGAAGCAAAGTCTTTTTTTTTTTTTACTTTTATTATTATTTTTTTATTTCTTTTTTTCTTTTCAAACCTTTGAGTTCAGGGCTGATTTTCAATAGATCGTAGTGAGGAAGCTGCTCTGCTACCTAGGAAACCCCAACGAAGACTCACGTCCTCTACCAATGGTTTAGCATCAGGTTCCCCACTAAAGCACAGGTGTGTGACTGGGAAGTGGGTATCGCCTTTCCGGCCGCACCCCAGTGTCCAAGGAAGTAGGGCTCTCTGCACTGGACCCCCGTCCCCACCCGTGGCAGGGCAGGCATCAGCGAGGCGGGCTATGGCCCGCCAAAAATGTCATTTTAGATGTGAATTATCATCTGTCCTATGTCTAATTCCTTGAGTTCTACTTAAAATTTTTCTTGTTTTCTATAGCATGTACCTTCAGATATACAGGACTTCAGAACACTTAAAAAGGAATCAGGATCATTCTATGGTTTATGAATAAGACCAGTCTTGGTGTCAAGTTCAGAATTATCTCACTGTAATTTATTTTATATGCAGAGTACATCGTGAGAAACGCTGGACTGGAAGAAGCACAAGCTGGAATCAAGATTGCCGGGAGAAATATCAATAACCTCAGATATGCTGATGACACCACCCTTATGGCAGAAAGTGAAGAGGAACTAAAAAGCCTCTTGATGAAAGTGAAAGACGAGAGTGAAAAATTTGGCTTAAAGCTCAACATTCAGAGAACTAAGATCGTGGCATCTAGTCCCATCACTTCATGGGAAATAGATGGGGAAACAGTGGAAACAATGTCAGACTTTATTTTGGGGGGCTCCAAAATCACTGCAGATTGCACTGGTGATTGCAGCCATGAAATTAAAAGACGCCTACTCCTTGGAAGGAAAGTTATGATCAACCTAGATAGCATATTAAAAAGCAAAGACATTACTTTGCCAACAAAGGTCCGTCTAGTCAAGTCTATGTTTTTTCCAGTGGTCATGTATGGATGTGAGAGTTGGACTGTGAAGAAAGCTGAGCACTGAAGAACTGATGCTTTTGAACTGTGGTGTTGGAGAAGACTCTTGAGAGTCCCTTGGACTGCAAGGAGATCCAACTAGTCCGTCGTGAAGGAGATCAGTCCTGGGTGTTCATTGGAAGGACTGATGCTGAAGCTGAAACTCCAGTACTTTGGCCACCTCATGCGAAGAGTTGACTCATTGGAAAAAACCCTGATGCTAGGGGGGATCGGGGGCAGGAGGAGAAGGGGACGACAGAGGATGAGATGACTGGATGGCATCACCGACTCCATGGACATGAGTTTGAGTAGACTCCTGGAGTTGGTGATGGACAGGGAGGCCTGGCATGCTGCAGTTCATGGGGTCGCAAAGAGTCAGACATGACTGAGCGACTGAACTGAACTGAACTGAATTTATTAACCCTGTAGATTTCACATGTATAGTCTCATTCACAAACTCTAGATACGGTTGGAAAGTGTGGTTTGCTTAAACTAGGTAAAAAGAGCACTGATTTGAAATTTGTGACTGACCAGGACACTCTTGTGTAGAAATCAGAAGTCTCTATCATATCCTGTGTTTTAGAACTACTCTCTAGGTTGAATGAAGATGGGCAAAATATTCAAAGCTCTTCAGAGTCAGATATCTGAAAACTAGGAAAGATATAGCCAATAAGACAAGGAAAGCAACAACATATGTTGCAATTTCTGTAAATCCATCAGCTCTTGATCTGAAATTTAAAACCGGCTAAGTACAATTCTTGTATCCTATAACACCTTATGGAATTTCCTTAGGCCTGTCTGCGTGTATTATAAATTGTTTTGTTTTGTTTAGGTCTCTGCCTCATGTCCCTAAAATTTTATGTGAACTTCGAATTTTAAAGATGGAGAGATCTAATCTACCTCCTGTATTAAAAATAAGAAAACCAAAGTTCAAAGAAAGGCAGGAAATTTATGCATAAAGCATATCTGCATTTAGCTTCATTTAGAGGTAACAAGGTGGCTCTAGTGGTAAAGTACCCTCCTACCAATGCAGGAGACATAGGAGACACAAGTTCTATCCTTGGGTCAGAAATATGCCCTGGGGGAGGACGTGGCAACCCACTACAGTATCCTTGTCTGGAGAATCCCATGGACAGAGGAGCCTGGGGATACAGTTCTAGGGTTGCACATAGTTGGACATGACTGAAGCAGCTTAGCATGCATTCACAGAGGTAACAAGAAACGATTACTCAGATAAATCATTTTGACCACAAACTCTTAACGCTTGCAGGACATCTGGATAGAAAATACTTGGTGTATATAAGTGACAATCCAATAATAATTCCAGGTAGAGATAGCTAGGCAAGTGGAAGACAGAGCAAGTAACCTAGGATTGGTGTTGGTAATGAGAAAAAGGAGACTACAGCAATTCTGCTGCAGGTGCAAGCAGAATAGTAGCAAAGAGTGACTAATACAGTCCTCATTACTATGGTCTATAAATCCTGAGTGGTGAGGACTGACTAGCTCCCTGGTCATTCATATTTATACCACACATAAACAGACTAAATAAAGACAATGCTTTCTCATTTCTCTGTCAATGATACTAAGTGGTCTGTGACACATAAAAAGCAACTTTATGATTAAATCAACTTATGATATTGGGGAAAATTCAATGTAAAAGTAATAGTGTACACAACGTGGATTGAAGTGAACAGTAATGCTGGCCCTGAAATGGTTCCCCATCAAACTGCAGTGCTATGCTTGGACCTGGCTGAGCAGAGTTCCCGCCCTCAGCTCCCTTCTCTGGGCAACTCTGTGCTTTGGAGTAGCTTCCCCAGATGGTTCTGAGTTCACTTCTGCTGCTTGGGCTCAGCTGGAGACAGCAGCACTGTCTGTGCAGGGTGCCTTGAACTTGAACCAAGCACACATAGGCCTAATCATTAACTCTCCTCTTCACAGGACTCTGATTCCCTTTGTTCAACAGCCACCACCTTATGGAGTCAGACATTTGCCCTAAGAGGCTCTATGACCCATATCTGTCAGGTTGTCTTGGGACCTCATCGCTGGATCCCGGGACCTGGTTTCAGGAGAGTAGCTTGGTCAGCAGATTTTTCTTTCTAGACAGTATAGACTTTCATGGAATCACATGAGATGAAGCCACCAGAAGGGTTCTGACATGCTGATTGGAGGTGTTTCTCACTTATCACTCTTGACTGACAGGATGAGTTCAGGGCTCTAGGCTACCAATGGTCCATTCTGAAATGCTGGGCTTGAACTCTGTGTTAGAACTGTTCACTGTCTTTCAACTGTCTACATTTACACTCTCATGCTGCCTCCTAGCTACAGCACTTGAAGGTAGTAGCAGGAGCAGCAGACCTCCTTTACATCCCTGCCTTCCTCACCATGGCCCTGGTACCCAGAGTGACTGACCACCCCACCCTCTCTGCAAGCTCCATACCACCTGTCAGCTAAGCGATTACACCTGTATACTACAAAGGATTTGTGACCATTGTAGAAAACTGATATTATGACATGCCACCCTAAGTCAATGTTAAATAATGCCAGATGAGGTAGGGGTATTCCTTACAGGAGTGAGAATGCCCTTCTCATTTCAAGAACTGAAAGAGATCATCTTCTAGAGATGCAGTCATTAGGGGTTAAATATTTTAGGTGGCAAAAGATGTGTTTTTCTACATTAATGTTATAAAGTCCAAAAACATAAATGGAATATAAACAGTAAAAAAAAAAAAAATTCACATTTTGCTGAAGGATCTGGTTAAACCTGGCATTTGTAGTCATCATCAATGAAACACAGAAAGAATTTTTGAAGAGTCATTGGAAGCTATTATCCATGGGTAATACAATGGAGAATGCAGCAGCCTACTAATGATGCAATCAGCATTAAACAAATGGAATTTGGAAATGCTAGAAACAAGATGGTCTATGTTGTTCTGAACAGCCATGTCATAGTAAATAATAACCACATTGGAACCTGCTTTTGTAGCAAGGGACTTGAAATGGCCAGAAATGGCCTGTCTTCTCCAAAACAAGCAGTTCATGGAGTTGAACAGGAAGAAGAAAGCACCTGGAAACTACAAAGAATCTTTACATGCAGTGATTAGACAATAACCAAATATATAATTAATTCTTCTCTACTCATTATCTTAAATGCTCATTGATAAATTACTATATATCACATAGTATTTATCATACATTTTTTAGGCAAAATGTTTGTATGTTCACAACCCAAAGAACACGTTTGCCCAGGCACCAGATATAGAGATAGGTCAAGTCCTCCATACATTTTTACATTCAGTATCTGTGAACCCAAATTTTAACATCCCATTTCATTCCTATGATCTGTGTCAAGGTAATACCATCCTGGACCTGAACAGGATCCCAGTGTTCTGGGGATAATATGTATGCAGTCTGACTACTGATTTATGGACAATGCTGTGTGTAAGTGTATGTGTGCACACATGCTTATGTTTGTGTTACACATGACATGGATTTGCTAGGGTCTGAATATTAAATGCTTTACATACAGACTTAATAGCAAAGATATGCAATATGACAGAAGGAAATGGCAACACACTCCAGTATTCTTGCCTGGAGATTACATAGACAGAGGAGCCTGTTGGGCTATAGTCCATGGGGTCACAAAGAGTCAGACATGACTGAGTGACTAACACTGAACACTGAACAATATTATAAGAAGAAAAAATATATAAACATAAAAATAGTTAAGGAAAGGGTGACAAGAGAAAAATGACTCCAGTTTTAATTATATTCTATAAGATTAAATGCCCCAAGACAATGCCTTTTCATTTAAGCCACCCTTACACTCCCAGATACCCCTTCTTTATGGGAACACTTTATACACCACAGGGTACTTCACAGAATACAGAAACGCATCTAGTTCATAGAATATTAGTGTTGTTTTTTTCTATATTATTCACCAGCACCTTGAGAGTGGACATAACTCAGTTTAATTGATTTATTTCCTCTAGTTTGTACTGTTATTAAAAGCAGTTTGTACTATAGAGTTATTAAAGTGTTGTTTCCATAATATAGACATATGGAGTATATTTAGGGATAGCTGTGTTACTTGGAAAGGTCTATTTGACAAACTGACTAAGTCTAAATTAAAATCCCAGTGAGCAGTAAATCAATGGAACATCACAAGAAGAGAAGAAAGACACTCAAAATGGAAATAGTTCCCCCAAAGTATATGATTTGTACTTATTTAGCTGCTGAATATGGAGAAGGCAATGGCACCCCACTCCAGTGTTCTTGCCTGGAAAATCCCAGGGACAGAGGGGCCTGGCGGGCTGCTGTCTCTGGGGTCGCACAGAGTCGGATGCGACTGAAGTGACTTAGCAGCAGCAGCAGCTGCTGAACATATGTTACCGATCCCCCTACCATACCCCACTCTCCAACTGAATGATTAACGAGTAACCGTTCAGTAAAAGATGCAGTATGTTTTATGCCGACAAAACAGCTTAACATTACCCTTGGCCTCCTCCCGGAGTGGGGTGATGACCTGGCCAAGGGTGGCCACATTCCTCCCAACCGGACACAGACAGGCCCGCCCACATTTGGCTGATGGAGTTTAGTACCAGTGCAGATTCCACATTCCCACTCCAATACTCTCTGAGAAGTGCCTAATGATGCTGATCACTTACAGACACAAGAGAAATCTTTGTTATTATTGTATAAAGCCATAAATGTACATAAATTATGTTTTACAAAAAAATAAAGAAAGAAGCAAACTTTCGAGAGATTTAATTCAGATACAATATTTCTCAAATCTGTTCCAGTATTGGTCCATTAATTCAGTTTATCAGCCCATAATTCAGCTCAGTTCAATTCAGATGTTCAGTTGTGTCCGATTCTTTGAGACCCCATGGACTGCAGCATACCAGGCTTCCCTGTCCATCACCAACTCCCAGAGCTTGCTCAAACTCACATCCATCAAGTCGGTGATGCCATCCAACCATTTTTATCCTATGTCATCCCCTTTTCCTCCTACAATCTTCCCCCTTCTCCTCCCTTCAATCTTTCCCAGCATCAGGGTCTTTTCCAATGAGTCAGATCTTCGCATCAGGTGGCCAAAGTATTGGAGTTTCAGCTTCAGCATCAGTTCTTCCAATGAATATTCAGGACTCAGTTCCTTTAGGATTGACTGGTTAGATCTCCTTGCAGTCCAAGAGGCTCTCAAGAGTCTTCTCTAGCACCACAGTTCAAAAGCATCAGTTGTTCGGCACTCAGCTTTCTTTATAGTCCAGCTCTCACATCCATACTTGACTACTGGAAAAATTACAGCTTTGACTGGACAGACCTTTGTTGGCAAAGTAACATCTCTGCTGTTTAATATGCTATCTAGCTTGGTCATAGCTTTTCCTCCAAAGAGCAAGCGTCGTTTTAAAAAATTTCATGGCTGCAGTCACCATCTGCAGTGATTTTGGAGCCCACAGTCTCTCACTGTTTCCACTGTCCCCCCATCTATTTGCCATGAATTGATGGAACCGGATGCCATGATCTTAGTTTTCTAAATGCTGAGTTTAAGCCAACTTTTTCACTCTCTTCTTTCATTTTCATCAAGAGTCTCTTTAGTTCTTCTTCACTTTCTGCCATAAGGGTGGTGCTATCTGCATATCTGAGGTTATTGATATTTTTCCCAGCGATCTTGATTCCAGCTTGTGCTTCATTTGCGACCAGACTCTTTGCGATCCCATGGACTATACAGTCCATGGAATTCTCCAGGCCAGAATACTGGAGTGGGTAGCCTTTCCCTTCTCCAGGGCATTTTCCCAACCCAGGGATCGAACCCAGGTCTCCCTCACTGCCAGCAGATTGTTTACCAGCTAAGCCAAAAGGAAAGCCCACCCATAATTCAGGGGTATCTTTAAAAACTTGGAAAATTCTTTGCAGACACTTCCATTTTCCAGGTGCCAACTTGGAAATTTTGAAAAAAATTACCAACAGTTTTCCAAGGTGATTTCATGATTTTGTACTCCTATCAACAAGTATGGGAGCTTCAGCTGCTTTGCATTTTCACCAATGTTGAGGGATTTTTGATCTTTTGAATTTTAGCTATTCTAATGCGTGAGAAACAGTATCTCATTGTAGTTTTCATTTCATTTCCCCGATAGCTAGTGACATTGATTATACTTTTGGCACTTACTGGCCAATTTTTAAATCTTTCTTTATAAAGTTTGTTTGTTGCTATTGTTTAGTCACTAAGTTGTGTCCAACTGTTTTGCAACCCAGCAAATACTCTGTCCATGGGATTCCAGGCAAGAATACTGGAGTGGGTTGCCATTTCCTTCTCCAGGGGATCTTCTCAGCTCAGGAATTGGCAGGCAGATTCTTTACCACTGAGCCACCTGGGAAGCCTGAGTTTGTACCAGTCTTTTCCAATAACTACAAAACTAGCTCCTTAAATATATGTTTGAATGCAGTTCAAAAGCCTTTGGAAAATTGGAGTTAAAGATAAAACTGCCTATGTTAAAAATAGGACCAATAAAACATACATATATATAAGATATGTTATATATTGTACATTATTGTATAAACTAAAAGCAAATTTAAATAGAGAGATCTTCAGTGGATGATAAAGTTGCTTACTGACTATTAAAATTTCAAAAAAAATATTTGGCAAACTCAAGCTGGTGCCCTTAAACTATGACAAGCTATAGGCACAGTGTGGTTCCTGGAATCTAGATTCAAAGACACAGTGAAGGAACCTACCTGGCAGGAGCTGGAATTTATTTTGAGGCACTCACCCTGCACTTTCAGTTCATCTACAAGGAGTAGGCACTTGGAAACCAGAGTGAATACCCTGACTTTCCTCCCTGCTACCCTCCTGCTGGTGTTTTCTATATTCTGAATACAACCAGATGTCAAAGTGCAAAGGAGGCAATCAGTGCAGTACATTTGTGTGAGTCCTCCAGGATACAGAGTATGAAGTGGTCCTAGAGAGGCAGAGAAGAGTTGCAGCACATTGGCCCACATAAATGAAGAGCTAGAAAAAAATTCAGAACAAAAGCTCAAAGGCTAGCATTTTTATATACTCTCCTTTCAAGTACTAGACTATTTTTTCAGGATTGTATCTGTGATATTTGATACTGTCTCTCTTTGTTCTCAGGCTTCCCAGGTGGTGCTATAGGTAAAGAACCTTCCTGCCAATGCAGAAGATACAAGAGATGCAGGTTCAATCCCTGGGTTGGGAAGATCCCCTGGAGGAGGGCATGGCAACCCACTCCAGTATTTTTGCCTGGAGAATCCCCATGGACAGAGGAGCCTGGCGGGATACAGTCCATGGAGTCGCACAAAGTCAGACACGACTGAAATGACTTAGCAGGCATGCATACACACCATTCATTCTCAGAGTCCCCGTAGAAGAGATTAGAATTTCTTTTTATCCTTTTAGACCACTCAAGAGTTATGCAAAATAATTCTGATTTTCAAAAATCGTGTTATGAACTCACTCTGAAATTAAATGTACAATGTTTACCTGGAGGATCAAAATTTTTTTAAAAGAATGAATGGGCAATCATGTAATTGCTGTGCATGTCCTATGTTTGTATTTCTGTATGTTCTCAAGTAATTTTATATTACTTTTCCCCTAAGGTCTAAAGTGAGGTGAAAGAAAAACTGAAATGCCAGAAGTATTCTTTTACATGTTTTATAAAATCCATGGGTATTGAAGAAAACCTTGAGCTTTCTAAAGCTTTAACTAGCACTGAAATTCAAAAAAATTGATATTAAAATGTATAGCCAGATATAAAACATTTTGTGGAGACTATAATTGATGAAGAAGAGTCAAAAACTTTTTTTATCCTTTATATTCTTTTACTATAAAATAAATCAAAGGTTTCTGAAGAGAAGATGGTGATTCACTTTGGAGTCATATAAGTAAAGCTATATGTAAAATATCTTGAAAAATTACAGTTATTTACCTGATAACTGACAAGAAATCTTTCATTATTCGCTCAAAAAATAGTTGATTATACTATTACATATATATAAAGCTAAAATTACAAACAAAGTTTTGTTAATTTAGCTTATATTTATTGAACACCTAAATAATGTGCTGTCTAATAGTAGTTTAGTAAATAATAGGTTGAATCAATAATGTTTGCTTGTCATATGAGCATTACTGACACCTAGTGGTCAAGCTAAATGCATTTCTTAATTAAATGAGTCCTTTATAAAAGCAGGAGTGAACTAAAAAGTAACTGCAGTAATTTTATTCAAATTCCATCAAAAACATGTATCTTAAATAAGTAGTAAAGACAAAGTCCATTTTAGTAATAGCTTGGATCTATTGTCAAACACTTCTTTCTCATTGCATTATCTTAATTCGGAAAAAACCATGTGATGTGAATTGTCATTTTCACCCCTTTTTAAAGATTTTATTTATTTATAAGGTGGAATGTGAGGCTTATAGAGGTAAAGAAATATGCTCAAAGTCTGTCAGTTATTGTATTGTATAAAATAGATTTAAACTTGTTTTCTGACTCTAAAATGTTGACTCCAGAAATAATGCCATAAATTAATTAAATAGCCAGTGTTTAATATCAATTAATTTCTGATAAACAGTGATAGAGTCCTTTCTAGGCATTATCTGATTGTAGCATTACAACAATCCCATTAAGTTGATTTTCTTTCCTCATTTCCCTGTGAGAAAACCAAAGCGCAAAAGGTAAATTGAATGGACTAAAGTCATAGAACAAAGGATGGGCAAAGGGACCATGTTCCTAATATACATGATACATAATTACTATTATATCTAGTGTTAGAGGTGCTATACTCACAAAAATCATTTAGTGTAATTCTTAAAACAAACATAGCTCAAAGTTTGTAAACTTACATAAGAATTCTGGCTCTGGCCTTTATTAAATGTACATATATTTCTGCACTGAGTTTGAGAAATGCTGGGTTTTTTCCTATAGTGCTCTTTCACTGTCTGCCAAAAGTAACTTCACCTGATCCACAGTGAGATTTAAGATGTTGGTGGAAAAAAAAGGCGAAACTGAAAGTCGCTCAGTCATGTCTGACTCTTTGTGACCCATGGTCTGCAGCCCGCCAGTTTGGTGGGAGGCCATTATTCCTCTGACTGACTAGACTGCTGAGGGTACTCACTGGAGGATGCAGACTATAGATCTGTAACCAGAGGGAATTTCTGACCAGAAAGTTTTAAGGTTGTCCTCAGGGATATGGAAATTTTCCATGCCATATTACAGGTCGAGGGACACAACCCACAGTGGGAGGACCCTTCCAGGGGGCTAGAGGTCTCATATAATTCCTTGGCCTTGGCTATTGAGAACTCAGGTATGTGCAGGCTGCAGGCTGTGGCATTTAGTTCTTCACAAACGATTTCTCAGATGCCAGCCAGAGGTAGGTGAGTCAGTTTCTGGTTATGCTGGAAGAGGGATCACAATGACAGTAACTAAAGTGATTCATGGAATGATGGAATTCCAGTGGCTCCATCAGAGTCTCTGTAGAGAAGGCTATCTCCAAGCAGAGCAGCAAGAAATTGTGTTGAGAAAAACCTGAATTTATAGATGCACATCAGTCACTAACACAAAATCACATAGCAGAACACAGGACTAAATATGCAAACTGATATCAACAAACTCAGAGATAGGTAGATAGATATTGAACAGATAGATTCAAACACATGAACAAAGAATGTGATATGCAAACAGGAGGGAAAAATACTAATGGTAACTCATTGGCTGGAACAAATGAACTCCTTCCTTCTCTACAGCCTTTTATTTTGTCATCTCAGAAGAGAACCTCTTACCCTGGGCACAGTCATCCTAGTGGGAGGTTACAGCATCTTTGAAAATGAGGCTCAGAGGGGTTGAAAGATGGGAAGCCTGGAAACCTGGGCAGAGATTATTCAATTCTGCTGCAAGATGGAAGCCAGTCCCTGGGAGAAGCTCACTACAGTTTACCTGGGGGACTGTGTGTCTGAAAGGAAAGAGAGGTTCAGAAAGGAAAGAAAAGAGCATCAGAGAGTTATGGTGAACATAAACTTTAAAAATATACATGGAAGTGTTTATTAAACAGAAAATAACATTAATCACACAAAAGGTGAAGATGCCTGCATCAGTAGTGGTCATAGTAATGGCAATGCATGTGTACATGCTCAGTCGCTCAGTCATATCTGACCCTTTATGACCCTATGATCTGTAGCCCACCAGGCTCCTCTGTCCATGGGATTCTCCAGGCAAGAATACTAGAGTGGGTTGCCAAGCCCTCCTCCAGAGGGTCTTCCCAACTCAGGAACTGAACTTGCATCTCTCAAATCTCCTGCATTTGCAGGTGGGGTCTTGACCCCAAAAGCCACCAGGGAAGCACCGTAAAGACAATCGTTGCAACATATTGACCTAAACAGGAAGCATTTTTGCCAATGACAATATGCTTCTATTGATATTTAGCCCCAAGAAAATCTTCCATGATCATTCAGTGGGATGATAATAAGATCAAAACAGTAGTAAACGTTGGAAACACTGGACAATCTCATTGAACAGGACATGAATCTTTGAACCCCCTACTCCCTTTGAACATCCTGTTCACCGCATCCTGAGTCACCGCATCTCAAAAAAATAGTATTATATTGATCAGTCATATGTTTTTCAAAAGGAAAATTACTGACAGTCATTTGTGAAAAGGGATGAATTATCAAAAAATTAAGATAAATGATTATAGAAGTCTTAATTAACTCAGTAGTTGTGAGGGGGAAGAAAAATAGATTTGATAGCTATTTCTGAAGATTAACACTGTTAAAGTACTTGGTGGCTCAGATGATAAACAATCTGCCTGCAATGCAGGAGACCCAGGTTCAATCCCTTTATCAGAAATATCCCCTGGAGAAGGGTAGTGCTGTCCACTCCAGTATTCTTGTCTGAAGAATTCCATGGACAGAGGAGTCTGGCAGGCTATAGTCCATAAGGTCACAAAGAGCCATCAGTCACAACTGATGCAACTTAGCATGCACGCAAATGTGAATTTTAGTCCAAGCCATTCCCAGGAGCAAATTAAAGTTTTGCCCCTGACACAAGAAATACAGAGAATACTGGCAGGTAGAGAAAGAAGAAAAAGTAAGATGTGAAGTTCAAATGCATACAACTACATAGGGAAAGAGGAAGTTTCCTGAGACTGAAAGAGAAATACAGCCAAGAACGAGCAGAAACACAATCCATCTGTGGTGTGCCCTGTGACACACCTTCCAGACCTGTTTTTTGGAAATATGCATCTACCTCCCAACTACTAGGAATATCAGATACTGGGAGCTCACATCTGCACCCCTTTCTGGAACTGTCATCCAACCCAAGAAACGATCTCAACCCAAGTTTTGTCCCATCACTCAGGGTAACACGCAGCCAATGGCAGGACACCGTGGAATGCAAATAATTTACTTCCTTGCATCGTCGTGGGGCAACATAGAAGAGCCATCCAGCTCCAGAGCTTCCCATAATATCACTGGAGGCCGCAGATGCAATCTCATGGTGAGCTAGCTTCTCCTTTGACCCAGTCCTACTTTACTAACTTTTTTACAAGTATAATTTCTGAGAGATCTCCTCCAAAATCCCTCTGCATGCCACTCTATAACCCAGTTTGTATTCATCTAGGATCTCATATTTATATAATAATTGGAAAGATTATTTCCACTAAATCTTTAACTTTTATTTGCTAATTATTGCTGATCTCTGCCTATCACTATGTAAAGTATAAAGATACTCTATACCATGAACATATATCTGACACAGATTTTGACCTCAAAGCCATTTTACCTTAGTGGTAAACAGCTAGCAGTGTTTCTTTAAGCTAGAATGAGCATTAGAATCACCTGGAGGGTTTAATTAGCATTATTAAATAGGTCTTGATCCCAGAGATTCTGATTTAGAGAGTTTAGGGTAGTGTCCAGTAATTAGCATTTATAACAAATTGCTAGATGATGCTGATACCCATGGCCCAGAGACTACACTTTAAAAAACACTAATAATCAATAATAACTAGCATAACAGCAAGATAAATAAACTTCTGGAAAATAACAAAAATAATAAATAATCATAAAATAAGACAGCTGGGGAAGGCTCTGTGGATAGTGCTTCATTAAATCTAGACTAAGAATTATTTTGGTGATTGGACTTAGAAGAATTTATAGTTCTGAGAAGGTTTATTATTTTGCTGGAATTATACATTAGTCTCCTGATACATCAAAATTTTGTAATTTCATTCCTTAGCTCAGATCTAAACACCAGCTGTCCACCCCCCACCCTAACTAAGTTCCCTCCCACATACCATTTTCTCTTTTCATTTAGCAATTCCTTGTTCTTTAAAAAAAAAAAAACTTTATTAAATTATAGTTGATTTATAATGTTGTAAGTCTTTTTCATGTTCTTTTCCATTATCATTTATTATAGGATACTAAATATAGCTATCTGTGATATACAGTAGGACCTTGTTGTTTATGTATCCACATACCATCTTCTCTTCAGGCCTCTCTTGAAAGAATGTATAAACCGTCTATAAACCATCTATATCAATACAAGTCCTATGATTTTATACACACACAGACCACCTTGTTTAGGCTTTACATGATGATTAATAGATATAATTACCAATAAATATTTGTTATTTTATAGCCATATACAGTTTCTTCCTTAAAGAGTGAAGGGAAAAAGATACAAGTGAAGAATGGCTTTTTTTGGGAAATTTTCCACACGGTTTTCTATGTTGGTGAGGTAAATACTTTGAAGTGAGACTGTCTTTTTAATTCTGCCTCATATTCCATCTCTAGGTCTCCTCAGCTGTATTATGAAATTAAAGAGTGGATTTCCTATTCTTCCAGAAAACAGGTGACATGCTCTGAAAGAGGTTATGGTGTCTCCCTGGAAGCAAGAAAACTGCAAACAATGTATCTATAACCACTCCAAACAGATATGCTGCACCCCAACAAGACACAGTTCCATCCTTCTTCCTTTCTTCTGATGGGGATTCCAGGGCTAGAAGATGTGCACATCTGGATTGGCTTCCCCTTCTTTGCAGTTTATCTAATAGCTCTCCTGGGAAACATTACCATCCTGTTTGTGATCCAGACTGAACGCAGCCTCCACCAACCTATGTTTTACTTCCTGGCCATGTTGGCCTTCACTGACCTTGGCCTGTCCACAGCCACGATCCCCAAGATGCTGGGCATCTTCTGGTTCAATCTCAGGGAGATTGTGTTTGGTGCTTGCATCACACAGATGTACACAATTCACATATGCACTGGCCTGGAGTCTGTGGTGCTGACAGTCATGGCCATAGACCGATACATTGCCATCTGTAACCCCCTGAGATATAGCATGATCCTCACCAATAGGGTAATAGCTATCCTTGGCATAGTCATCATATTTAGGACTTTGGTATTTGTGACTCCATTTATTTTCCTTATCCTGAGACTGCCTTTCTGTGAACTCCGGATCATCCCCCACACCTATTGTGAACACATGGGTTTGGCAAAGTTGTCTTGTGCCAGTATTAGGGTCAATGTTATCTATGGCTTGATTGCTTTCTCTGTGGGATACCTTGATCTTTCTGTGATTGGATTTTCATATGTCCAAATCCTCAGAGCAGTCTTCCACCTGCCATCCTGGGATGCACGGCTCAAGGCACTCAGCACCTGTGGATCCCATGTCTGCGTCATGTTGGCCTTCTACCTGCCAGCACTCTTCTCCTTCATGACCCACCGCTTTGGCCACAATATCCCTCACTGCATCCACATACTTCTGGCCAATCTATATGTGGTTGTCCCTCCTGCCCTTAATCCTATCATCTATGGGGTCAGGACAAAGCAGATAAGAGAGCGAGTACTTAGGATGCTCAACCCCAAAAGCTATTGATGTTAAGCCCCAAGAAAATCTTCCATGATCATCAGTGGGATAATAATAAGATCAAAGCAGTAGTAAACACTGGAAATATCTTCATTAAACTCCTCTGACATTCCCACACAAGCCAGTCACACTACTTTTTTGCCCATCAGTCATAATCTGTATATCCCCATTGGAAGGCACAGCTCAAAGATTCCAAAATAATCACTCTACTTTTTGCCACAGGAAAAGTACATCAAAAATTCTCACATTGAAATCCCACTGATGCTATAAAATTCCTAAAGAGAGAAAAAGGTTTGAAAAAGTCATGCCCCCGGTACATTAAATAATTTTCTTTCTCATGGTCTTATTATTCACAGGTCAGAAGCTGAAGTTCATGACTATAAAAATGATGAATTTCATGAAAGTCAAGCAGGACACAGTGGTAAGGGACATGCACGAGTCATGAGATCCAGGTTTAAACTCGGGCTCTGTCCTTGACTGGAAGGTTTACCTGAGTTTGTCACTTAGAGCTCTTTGAGTGTCAGTATACTCACTAATAAAATAACAACAACAAAAAAAAAACCTGTTGTGAACATCTTTGCAGCTTCTAAGAACAAAGAAACATTGAAAATAAACACATGTGTTTCTGGTGTGGTTGCTACTTCTGGTGCATGTAGATTAATTTACTAATTTCAATCCTCCTCTACAGTTACTGGTTCTAGCTGCAGATGACCCCAGTGCTTGGGGGTCTGCAGGGACTCAACCCTGACCTTGGTCAAAGCCTTTAAGTCAGAAGGCTATAATGCCTAAAGAGTTAAGAGTGCTTTCTCTGGGCTTGAGGACTCAGTGAAACCACATGCCCTACAGTCCTGGTTAGGGCATGAGGCAGAATGGTTAGCTTTAGGGCAGAATGCACGAGAGTGGCTACTAACACAAAGTCATTCTTACCTGAGTATGGGAGCTAGATAGTATAACTGATTTCTTTGGGTATTCTAGGAACTGCAGAAACATTCAGTTGGCTTCTAATTGGAAATGGGACCCTGGTTAAAATTCAAAAGAGACTGAGCAAGGAATAAACAGAGAATGGAACTATGGTAATGTAAACAAAGAGAGGTGGTAAACTTAAAAAAATGATACTTTGTATAAATTCATAAAGAAAAATGACCAAATGATCAGTTTCTACATAGAAATTATAATATTGACACAAACAAGATTTTTTAAAAACTAAACAGATCAAAATGATGAAGGGAGATGACAAAAATGGTTATTGCAGATTTTCATCCAAGTAAGATGGTGTGTATGCGCAGTCTCAACCAACTCTTTGCTACCCCTTGGCTCCTCTGTCCATGGAATTTTCTAGGCAAGGATACTGAAGTGGGTTGCCACTTCCTCCTCCAGGGGATCTTCCCTACCCAGGGATTGAACCCACATCTCCTGCATTGCAAGTGAATTCTTTACCCCTGAGCCATCAGGGAAGCCCCAGTAAGACGGTAAGAAGCCATGATAACTTGTCATATGTTTCTTATATTAATACCATATTAACTCTTTTGCAATATTAACAAATTTGCAAATCTTTCAAAATCATTTAGAAAATTAATATTATTCTGATGACAAAATCAGAAAATAGAGAAGAAAATACAGAATCTTTAAATCAATGCAAATAGTAACACAATTATGAGAAACTTGACTCAAAGTAAGTGTTCACAGAGATAGATACTACCAATTTGTTCTAAGGATTTGTAAAGGATATAGGATTCCATATACCAGTTGTCATTCCTCATGATAAGCACAATTTTGGCATGTGAAGGGGCTCAGAAAACATTCTTTTACTTACAATACTGAAGCGTATAAATGTAGAGTTGACAAATAGTGTCTACAACAGATCTCCAGTTCTACAGAAGTCAGTTCCTAAATATGAGTGTCTTTCTGCTCTGGTTCTAAGGAGAGAGGTTAAAGAGGACCACAGGTTCTCACAGAATTGTCAAAACCAGGGAAGGTGGTTCAAGAAACTGGACAAAATGGTCCTAAGACAAGGTTTCAGGTGATTCTACATACAGGTAAAGGGAATGGGAATACGGGGCCAGGATTATTCAAAGAATCAGGTCTTAAAGCGCAGATCCAACACTGTCAAGAAGTTTTGATAATATTAAAAAAAAAAAATCCTCTTAGCACAGTCTTAGTTGGCCAGATTTAGTATTAACTAGATGTATTTTAAATTAGTAGACTGTAGTTGTTTTTGTCAATTTAACTGAGAAAATCTATGAAGAGTTGCTTTGCTATTATAGTTTATGGTTCAGTTGTTCTGGAAGAAGTTGTATTAAGAACCAGAGAAGGGTAAGGTGGGACCTATCAAAACTACTCACCTCAATTCCTGGTTTTCAGGTTTGTCATATTTGCATGAGAAATTTACATGAGCAACACAGGGCCTTTTGAGAAATAAAGATCTGAAACCATTGAACAGTATTGAGAAAAAGAGAAAATTTTAATCAAGATCCAGTAGCAAAAGAGAGCAACAGGTTACCTGGGAATTAAATATCTAGAGGAAAAAAGAATCTAACCTAGTGACCAAGACTCAAAACAAAGAGTTAAATATTGCTGAGGAAATAAAACTCCACGCATAATAAAGTGGAGTTTGCAAGCCTCTTATTTTGCTTATGATATATTCCAAGCATGTGGGTGCTAATGATGGCAACTGTGACGTCAGGGACCCAGAGTGGAACATCAGGACAGGGAATCTGAGCGTCTAAACAGCATTTGTTGTTGTTGTTCAGTCGCTCAGTCATGTCTGACTCTGCGACTCCATGGACTGCAGCACTCCAGGCTTCTCTGTCCTTCACCATCTCCTGGATCTTGCTCAAACTCATGTGCATAGAATAGGTGATGTCATCCAACCATCTCATCCTCTATCATCCCCATTTCCTCCTATCAATCTTTCCCAGCATCAGGGTCTTTTCTGATGACTCAGCTCTTCACATCAGGTGGCTAAAGTTTTAGAGCTTCAGCATTAGTCCTTTCAATGAATATTCAGAATGGATTTCCTTTAAGATTGACTACTTTGATCTCCTCGCTGTCCAAGGGACTCTCAAGAGTCTTCTCCAACACCACAATTCAAAAGCATCAATTCTTTGGCGCTCAGCCTTCTTTATGGTCCAACTCTCATATCCATACATGACTACAGGAAAAACCGTAGTGTTAACTAGACAGACCTTTGCTGACAAAGTAATATCTCTTCTTTTTAATATGCTGCCTAGGTTTTTCAAAGTTCACCCCCCTCCAAAAGCAAGTGTCTTTTAATTTCATGACTGCATCTGCAGCGATTTTGGAGACCAAGAAAATAAAGTCTGTCACAGTTTCCATTGTCTCCCCATCTATTTCCCATAAAGTGATAGGACCAGATGCCATGATTTTAGTTTTCTTGAATGTTGAGTTTTAAGCCAGCCTTTTCACTCTCCTCTTTCACTTTCATCAAGAGCCTCTTTAGTGCCTCCTCAGTTTCTGCTATAAGGGTGGTGTCATCAACATTTCTGAAGTTATTGATATTTTCCCTAGCAATCTTGATTCCGGCTTGTGCTTCATCCATCCCAGCATTTTGCATAATGTACATTACATATAAGTTAAATAAAAAGGCAAGGTGACAATATACAGCCTTGACATACTCCTTTCCCACTTTGAAACCAGTCCATCATTCCATGTTCAATTCTAACTGTTGTTTCTTGACCTGCATACAGATTTCTCAGGAGGCAGGTCAGGTGGTCTGGTATTCCCATCTCTTTTTGAATTTGCCACAGTTCATTGTGATCTACACAGTCAAAGGCTTTAGTGTAGGCAATGAAGCAGAAGTAGTAGCTTTCCTGGAATTCTCTTGCTTTTTCTATGATCTAACAGATGTTGACAATTTGATCTCTGGTTCCTCTGCCTTTTCTAAATCCAGCTGAACATCTGGAAGTTCTCGGTTCATGTATTGCTGAAGCCTCACTTGGAGAATTCTGAGCATTACTTGCTAGCGTGTAAGATGAGTGCAATTGTGTGGTAATTTAAACATTCGTTGGCATTGCCTTTCTTTGGATTTGGAATGAAAACTGACCTTTTTCAGTCCTGGAGCCACTGATGAGTTTTCCAAATTTCCTGGCATATGGAGTACAGCACTTTAACAGCATCATCTTTTAGGATTTGAAATAGCTCAACTGGAATTCCATCACCTCCTCTAGCTTTGTTCATAGTGATACTTCCCAAGGCCCACTTGACTTCACATTCCAGGATGTCTGACTCTAGGTGAGTGATCACACCATCATAGTTATCTGGGTCATTAAGGTCTCTTTTGTAAAGTCCCTCTGTGTATTCTTGCCACCTTTTCTTAATACCTTATGTTTCTGTTAAGTCCATATCATTTCTGTCCTTTATTGTGCCCATCTTTGCATGAAATATTCACTTGGTATCTCTAATTTTCTTGAAGAGATGTCTCTAGTCTTTCCCATTCTATTGTTTTCCTCTATTTCTTTTCACTGATCCCTTAAGGAGGCTTTCTTTTCTCTCCTTGCTATTCTTTGAAACTCTGAATTCTGATGAGTATATCTTTCCTTTTCTCCTTTGCCTTTCACTTCTCTTCTTTTCTCAGCTATTTGTAAGGCCTCCTCAGGCAACCATTTTGCCTTTTTGCACTTCTTCTTCTTGGAGACGGCTTTGATCACTGCCTTCTGTGCAATATTGTAGACCTCCATCCATCATTCTTCAGCCACTCTGTCTATCAGATCAAATCCCTTGAAGCTATTTGTCACTTCCACTGCATAATTGCAAGGGATTTGATTTAGGCCATACCTGACTGGCCTAGTGGTTTTCCCTACTTTCTTCAATTCAAGTCTGAATTTTACAATAAGGAGTTTATGATCTGAGCCACAGTCAGCTCCCAGTTTTGTTTTTGCTGACTATATATTGCTTCTCCATCTTTGGCTGTAAAAAATGTAATTATCTGATTTTGGTACTGACCATCTGGTGATGTCATGTGAAGAGTCATCTCTCATGTTATTGGAAGA